AGTTATTTTTATATATATTAGGTAATTATAGATTACCCTTTTAGATTTGCGCATGATACAAGATATATGCAAGAGGAGAAAACTTCAGGTATTCAAAAGGCTCTCTTAAAAATTGCTTCTTATTATTTACACTTTTCTTTAAGCTAAGAGTTGTTTCTGCTGCCCTACCCACATCATATGCCCTACCCAAGGCTACGCAGTGGAAATTTAAATTGAGAGATAATTAATTTTTCTCTTGCAGTAATAGGAAGCTGTTAATAATTTGGTAAACATGAGGTTGTTTTTTTTTTTTAAATACTTGTTCCTTCAGTGTTGTATGAACATATCAGTATAGTTCCTCTAAGCTACTAGCTAAACTTGTCAAACTGATGTACATTTTTTAAAGGAAGAAGAATGTTGAAGCTTTTTGTAAAAACATTGATATACTTGGAAAAATAATGATAAAAGGTGGTACAGGGGAGCATTCCTTGCCTTTTAACTTCCCTGACGTCCCTTCCCAATAGTGTTTTTAGGAGATGAATGCCATTTTGCAGAGAGAGGTTATAAAGCTGTCTGGCTTGTTTTGGCCATCCAATATAGTTTTAACATTTAAAATCTAGAGTCTAAGTCACAGAAACACCAACTGTGAAAGTGTCTATATAAATATATATAAAGCTTATTCAATATAATAATGTAAATGAATGGAATTTTAAGACTCAGACAACAAACTGTTAATGATAAACAAACAAAAGACCTGCCATAAAAGTGTGCTTGATCATTGCCACCACTGTGGTCGGCGGTGTACTACTTTAAACTCCTAAATATTTGTGTCTCCTTGTTTGGCCCAAAAGACCTGCAGAATCTTTAACGAAAAGGTTCTTTACCTCTGAGCCAGGTAATACAAATCTTCACCAGCTGTGGAATCGCATATCTCTAGGGAATATTAGCAAAGACGACCATATTCTTCTGTACTTTGATAAAGAATTCTGTTCTTGGAACGCAGGTAAAACAGATCACCAGTTCTGCTTTTTTTCCCCAATAAACTATGTTTATTATGCCAATTCTAATTACCATGCAATCTAATGGTTTTAAGGCTTATATTTTCCACATCACTGGACATCACAAACATGAAAGCATTTTATACTGTCATTATACATCAATGTTTGCACTTGGTTATACATATATACAGAAATTATTCACACATCTTAACCTTGCTATTTCCTCCTTTCAAACCAACATAATTTTACTGTGAAAGCAGCTTTTTAATAAATGGTATAAGAAATACAGCAAGGCACACATTTTTTAAAAACTTTTTTTCTCATTACCACCTCAAGAAGCATAAAAAACCAAAATGTTGTACTTAATTCAGTAGAATGTCAACAGTTCCTAATATACAACACCATGTAGTTGTTTCTTGAAGTGTTGCATAGATTAAATTTTAAAATTAAATAAATAAAATGCCATTTATTTTAATTGCTTAATTTTTAGATGTATTGAATCAGGAGGGCTAATGACTTCTTTTTGCTGCAATCCAACAAAACTGTCACTTTAAAAGTAAAATAGTTTCAATAAACTTATGCATTATACACATAAATATTAAATTTGATACATAAAATAGAAGAGGAGAGACAGGTACAGTTCTGAAAAGGTGAACCAAACTGATCATGAATTCTGTGGAACTTCAAAACTTTAAGGAACAGAATCAGTGATAAGTAGTACAGGAGCATCCAATTTAGGAAGGGGAGGTCATTAGAGGTAGCTTGGGAGAGGAATCCCTAAGAAAGCAAATGGCCTTGCTACAATACAAAATGATCACTGGAATAGGACTAGCATATGCAGTCAGATCACAAAGCCAACATGGACAAATCACATTTGGAAAGAAAATTTATCTTGGGAGTCAGTGTAATGAAAGGCAGTGATACAATGGAATTGGAGGTCATCCCAGGGTTTACAGGATGAACCTGCACCTGAATTGCAGCCAAGTTTCTAAAAGGAAACAAAAAAGTAATAGTAGGTTACAGAAAATGAAATTTTATTTGCAAAACATAGCTCTTCCAGAACAACTATAGATAGTCATTAAATGATCACATGCCAGAGCCTTTAATGCAGAAGCATACAGTAGGCAAACAATGACTTTTAACAGCCTGAGGTACAAGTTAGTGTAAAAAATTGTATTGATGTAGAAAACTCATTGATTTTTGTAAAGACTTTGTTTCTAAAGAAACAAGGGAAGTCATCAAGTCTGACCTTTTCCCTGCATCCTGTCCTCATCTTTACCTGCGAACTTACCTTCAGCGCACTCAAAAGTGCACCAATCAATGAAAACATGGGAATTTTCAAAAGCCAAGTAACAAAAACATCAACCCATCACTTATTTTAATATTTGTGTAAACATATAGAATGAGATTACAACGGAGAGGAGGAAAAGATTGTCACAGAAGTGGTCCATGAATAGAACTGTCAGGGTCACCACTGTATTTTCAAATTGTAAAGAGCTATTTAGACACTTCTAGTTCCAGCAATGAGTTACATTTTCATACTATAGAATTATCCAACTCAGAGTTTAGGGTTAAACTATTCATCCAACAGCATAGGCTTATGATGAGGATTATGAAGAAATAACTGTCAGAGTACAGCTCAAAGATTAGTGAAAAGTACATCTCATAGGCATTTCCTAGGAGGCACTCCAGACATGCCTTATGTGCCTTCCAAATTAAGCAGGAATATCTGGATCTATCCAGTTGCCTTCTCCTTTGATCTTATTTGTTGTAACTGAACCCCACCCCACCCCACCCCCATTTATAGAAGAAATATACTTACATGAAAATAGTGAAAAGCTCAACAGTTTGTTTAGAAATTAATGAAGAATAGATCTGAATAAAGGGGAAGGTTGTATCAAAAGGTTTCTACAACTCTGGCATGAGTTTCATATATGTGTAGTAAGAAAAGTCTCATCAACGGATTATGTCAGGTTTTTCAAAAATTATGTAATTCACAGACAATATAGGATTATCAGTTTATTCTATTTAATTTTTTTAAAGTCAGCTACTGTAAGGAGCTAAAAAGTCAGACTGTTTTAAACTCTATAAAGAAACATTACAGTATCTACCTCCCCATAAAAACTACTAGGAAAAAAATGGTAAGCAAAGATTTAGATTATTGTTGTAGTCCCAGTCTCTAAAAGTAAATGATTATATATTAACTGTTGTGTAAACCTGTATATTCTTTTTCTCTTGTAATGAATAATTAACTAACAGTCCTTTGCATTTATGTATCATCTTTTATCTGTGGATCTCAAAACACTTTTCAGTGAATAAATCATGCTTCACAGGTCCCATTGATCATTATTCTCATTATTTTGTTGCTAAAGAAACTGAGGCAAGGAAGGAGTAAGTCATACCAAAAAATCGATTGCTGAGCAGGCAATAACAGTCAGGCCTTCGGAGTGCCAGTCCCGGGTTTCTCCTGGCTATAGTAAGTGGCAGGATATTCTGGCTAACATTGCAGCTCTTCAGATAAAACCAATTTAGTTTTCTTAAGCCCAAGTAAAATATTTTTTCCCTAAATTAAGTTAAAACTTAAGTTTAAATTACAAGTTCTGTACAAAAGGAAGGAAATAGCTTTTGTGACTTACTTGTAAGAACTAATAGATTACACACAGAAGTGAAATGTATCCTCTAGAAAAGACTTTGGACATATCACATAAACCTCCTTAATGTATTGATCTCTACGCATATGTGACTAAAAATTCCCATCCCACTGGTGAGTCATGGGTCACAGTGACAGCAGAAGATTGCATGATCTCATATACAGAAAGGTAGTTCTTTCAAGCTGTCCCCTACTTGAGGGGACAATAAAATTGGCATAGCTTTATGAGCACCTCTGTTGAAGAACTCCATGTTGGCTCATACGAGAGACTAGTCAGTGCTGAGAGAGATATTTTTAAGCCTGCTTATAGAATTGTTATTATTTTCCCATAATCTTTTTTTTTTTTTTTTTTTTTTTGTAGCACACTGCTAAATAACAGGATTACAACATTTCGCAAAAATATTTTCTTCACTGTAACTTTTATTATCCTGTACAGCCAAGGCAAATACTAAACCAGTATCAAATCAAACAACATTTGAAACTATGCCTTTTCAGCTTTGAATTCTCAGTATGCTTTTAAGGTACACATATACTATAGAATATTTTTCTCTAAGTATTGCAGCTACACATGGAATTACACATTTAAATGAGCTTACAGCACAGGTGCTACAGGAAAAATAATGGTGTTTGCCATTTATCTTTCAAATTAAATAATGTGTTTTTAAATAGTAACTTTTTTCATAATACACTTATGGGAACAACATTTATCTGTCACATTTTAAAAGATGTATTAGTAATAAATGTAAATTACCTTTGGAAAATCAGTAATTAGCCTCATCAAAAAATAAACAATCTGCCACCAAAAAGATAATCTTTAGCATAGTTAAGTATAATAACTGTTATTTGAATAAGTTAACAAATTAGGATAGATTGCTTCTGTAATTCATTCCCCATAGCATGAGAGATGAAGTTAAAGCACCAAGCTTGTGAGTGGGGGAAGGGAGCTCAGACTTTAGTGAAACCAAATCTAGCAGCTCATATTTTCGGTTTTTGATGTGCCAGAGATAAACTACATGTATCCTAGGGATTTACTACTGGGAATAATATAGTACATAATTTCCATGGAAGCAATGCTGCATGTATCAGTTCAGAACCAGTATATCTTCCTAAATTTAAAAAGTGGGATGTAGCGTGAAGAGCTTTGTTACCTTAAAAATATTTGTCAACCCCTGGGCAAAAATTAAAATCATAACATAACCCTATCAAGTTGCTGCGTACAGAATCTGCATTACATTTTATTGCATTGTGGGGCATTTATTAATATATCCATCCTCTATGTCCAATCTTAGTCCTTACACCTTTTTAACTGGATGCTGTCATATCCCAGTCTTATGAAAAACACAGCCGGCTACCATGCAAGTAACTATGAAGTTCTGAAGACTGCAGGAAAGTTTATAAGGTATTTTGAGATCCTCAGAGGTAAAGTACTAATGAATTGAAAAGACATGTTATTATCTTCATCAGTGAAAGAATGAGAACAAGAATAAAATCACACTCACTATAGTAAGTATTCTTCCTTAAAGTAATATTATAAAAATGAGTGGGGAAAAAAAAAAGCTAATAAAACAGTAATTTAGGAAAAGTTTATGTTTACATAATTATCACTTATAAACCTCAGACTTTTCTCATCATCTCAATTTCCAAATAGAGGCTTCCATACACGTAATCCTTTTAATGTATTTCTAGAACATATAATATCTTCTATGAGGTTTGTAATTCCCCGTTGATTTCCATTGCTTCTCCAGTTGTTTGGATTGGATGTGTCCAAGTATTAACCTAATTGGCAATCACTAGGTCATGATAGCCCATTTCAAAGCCATTCAAGAAATATCCTTTTTGCTATGATGGTTCCAAGATAATGCATTATTCAAATAGATACGTGTTGAAAGAGATAGTGGCAAGCTGTAGACTATTGCTGTCATAACCTAAAGACTTTGCTAGACATATTTATACATATGCAACTGTGTGAATGTTGGGTAAACTGCCAATATGTGCAAAAGAAAAGCCCAAAGCATACTAATATAACATAGCAAAATTAGGAAATGCAGACGTTAGATATCTAATAGCAGCAAAGCAATCTATTTTGTATAAATAGGCCCAGATCCTCTGCTATAGCTATATAGTTTGCAATAGCAGAGTACTAGCAGTTTTCATGGGCAGTGACGAATAACAGCCTTTTCTCCTAGCAACATCATGGAATCATAGAATAACTTAGGTTGGAAGGAAATTTGAACGTCATCTGGTCCAACCTCCTGCTCAAAGGAAGGCTATTTTCAAAGGTAGATCAGATTATTCAGGGACTTGTCCACTTGAATTTTGAAAATCTCCAAGGATGGAGATTCCAGAACTTCCTGGGGAAAACTGGTCCCATGCTTAGCCTTCTGTCTTACTGGAAATTCCCTTGCTACAACTTCTGGCAAGCAGCGGCATTTGGAACTGGAGTGGCATTTGGAGTTGCCATGCTGACTCTGGTCTACTGGAGGAGTGTTTCCAAAGACTAACAGCATTCTCATACAGCTATGCTGGCTTTTGGGTCACCAAACAACTCATGAGACTCAAAGCAGCAGTGCTACACACTAGGATCTGATCCAGAAGTTGCTTTGTAGATCTTCTTTTGTTGTCAAATGTGCAGTTATTGTTAGACATTTATGTGAGGTCAGAAACTCCAGATCTGAAACACTTTCAAACTTTGGAAGAGATCAGAGCCACTTTTTCATCTTAGGTTCCACCATCTTATGTTTCAAAATGCTTACCACAAAATAGAACTGAAGCTTCCAATACTGCTGTGTGGCTATCAGTTTCCATCTGCTTTGGTATTCAGGTCTTTATTCTGCATTACCCTCACATTATACTCTTTAATGATGTTGCAAAAATTTCTGATTTTGGTAACCTCAACTTTTGGTCTAACACTGTGTTGTAACAACTGTGTCCTTAAGAATGGCTTACTGAACTTAAATCATGGTAAACTGACATCAAGAGATGACTTCTTATCTCTCTACTTATTCTCCAGTCTGCTTAGCCATTCTTCATGGCTTGTCTGGAAATATTGTAGAACTCCAACCCAAAATTCTTGTAAAACTGGAAGTTCAGCTTCATCAAGTGCTTTTGAACACCTCATAAGGCCAACTGACTGTGGAGAAGGGGATCAATGAGCAGAGCTGGTTCCTGGTTCCACAACTCATTTGAGGAGGGAAGAGGAGGCTGATATAGAAATACTACTTTTGAAGAATTCCCAAGTTCTGCAAGATAGCAGATTTGTTGTAGAAGAGAGCAGCTCCAGTCAGTGCAAAGCCAAAGGGCAAGAAGCAGTTAGTATTCACTGCATTTGTTGACCAGTGGCATGTAAATTGGGATTATAGTGTAATCAAAACAAATGATATAACACTATCATAAAACAGAAGCCCTGGATGGTAATTCATCTCCTTTCATTGCACACAAAAAAAAAAAAAAAAAAAAAAAAAAAGAAGTGCAACTTGTAGAGTACATACCTGGTTTTAGGATAATGTACGTGTCTGGAGAGGTTACATTCTATCTGTGCATATTTATATGTCTTTCCTTATGAAGATTCAGGAGGTTTTCTTCACAAGTAAGAGTTTTACTGTTCTGATGCAAAGCATCCTTTTTCTGTGGGTGGCCAGGCTTTAACTGAAACTCTATAGCTGAAGCCTCTTCAGAAGAAGCAACACATCCTTTGGGCTCTTCAGTTCCAGGTGATTTTCCTGTACTACTCTTTTTAGTGCTAAGCTCTGGATAATTCTTTTCCAAACCTCCAGTTTGCCCATCTGAAATCAGCAAATCAGCAGCAGCATTTTTCAAATTTGATGCACTTTGTTTGTTAGGATTGGGGACTTTTATATCATTGTCATCATCACATAAGAAAGATAAATCCCTACCTTCAGATGAAGTTTTAATTTTTTCTAATGTTTCTGGAGTCACTTCGCCTAGTGACTCTGGAGATGTTTCAGAAACATTGTTAGAAATGGATTGCTGCTGCTCAACCCGTTCTTCCTCAGGACAGGCTTCAAAAAAGCATTCAATATTTTCTCTCTCATCTGTGAAGTCAGGTGGCACAGGAGTGCTGCTCTTTTCCTCTATGTATTTGATTACCTCTCCACAGTCACTATCATGAGAAGAAAGTGAAAGATAAGAATAGAAGTCCCCTTTTCTTAGCTGAATGGGTCTGTGAGAGTGCTCTAACACTTTTTCCTTGATCTGTGCTAATGAAGCTGGAGCAGATGACTCACATTCAGGTTGTGACTTACTTTTCAAAGCTGTTGATGCCATGTCTATTATCTCCTTCACAAAATTGTGTACTGAGCCATCTTCCATGCTTTTTTTATCAAAAGCAGTAGATTCACAGTTACAGCACAAATCAGGACCATTGGCTGAAGAGTCGCATTCTGCTTCATTGGATTTCATGGCTGTACAGCAATCAGTAGATTTTTCAGTAATGCTTATTCTATGCTGATGACCATTAGGTAAGGTTGTTTGTAAAGCTGTATCTTGTGTGTCTACACAATTAATTTCTGAGGAAGATTCAAGACAAGGCTTTTTAGCAGGAGAGGAAGCAACAGAGTGATGATCAGGCTGAAGATGACTTTGACATTCTTTTGGAGGGTTTCTGGATCCATCTGATGACAGAACAGTCTCCTTGCCATCCATATGTGAATCATCTGAACTGTCTGTAAATGCTTCACAGACACAACATTCATTTTCAGCTTCTCTACCATCAAGCGATGCATGAGTTTTCGGAGTTGCTGATGTTCTACCAAGACGTTCCTTTTGACTTCCAAGAGTATTTTCAACATTGCCGTTCTCCATATCATCCACAAGTTGATCCTTCACAGCCTGAGAAATATCTTTCATCAGGTGACTCTTTGTCCCTTTTTCACGATCACGTGGTACATTCTTACTATTGCCATTATTTTCTGGTATTTTCTGTACTGAACCATTCAATAGTGTTTCGATGCTCAATGTATCTGTGGCTTTTGATGTCTCATTACTAACTTCTTTACTGCGCTGAATTTCATCACTGAGGTTACTTTTTCTCTTCTCCCTTGTCAAAGAAAATTTTGGTCTAATCCAAGTTTGGAGCTCATTTTTTATATAATCAAGTCCTGAAATTAAATTGCATTCTTCATAAATATCCTCATCAGTTGCTATACTGGAGTCATCATCTTCATCTTTGATACCTAGCTCTTCCTCAGTTAAGGTAAGGGTCGAACTTGAAAGCAAATCACTGTCATCTTCATCATCAGTGCAAGCAGAAGTGCAGGAGACATTAACAATCATGCTGACATTGACATCACTCTCATCAGCTACAGATCTATTAAGATGTTTTCTAAATGATGCATTTGAATCTGGTATTTTATTTCTGTGCAGTACAATGTCTTCAGAGCAGAGAGAAAGATCCTCACTGCTGCTGAGTTCAGTGAGAGAAGCTGCTGAGTCTTCATTGATTGAGGATGCAATATCTAGAGACAGCTGTCCAGTAAAAGACATTTTTTGAGAGCTACTTTGCAGTGTTATATCAGAGATGCTGCGCTTTATCTTTTGATCTAAAGGACTCTGGATATTCTCTAAGCGATTCAAAAGATCTAATGTCCTTTTGCTGAGCTCTCCAACAGAATCACTGCTTGCACTAATGTCCCCTGAGCCATGATGACTGAAAAGATCTTCGTTGCTTTTGTAGGAAGTCAGCCAGCTCTCCAAAGAGGTGCTTCGCTGAAGACCATCCCCACTTTTAAAAATACCTGAGCTGAACAAATCACCTACTACAGACAGAGATTCTAATGAAGAACTACGAGATAAAGTTGAAGACTGTCTTGTATTCTCTGTAACAGTTAATTTTCTTACAGTTTCTGCAGATTTACAGGAATTGGGATCTGATTCTCCAGGGATACTTGCCAGAGTATGGTCATGAATAAACCCATCTGGTTGTGACTCTCCAGGCTTATGTTCAGATTTAGCAGGTATTTTATCAAAACAAAAGCCATGAAACAAACTGCCCTCTGCATGTGTTTTTTCAATTTGCGATTGTTTCATTATCGCTGGTAATTTGAATTTGGAGCCTTGAAGATATGAGTAATCATAAAATGTAAACACGTCATGTTTTCCTTGCAATTCTTCTAGACAAACAGGGTTACGCATGGTAATGCTGTCCAAATCCTCATCATTTTCACTTCCACAACACGCAGAAGGTGCCAACTGGAAATTGTCTGAGAGGCTAGCATGGTCTTCTTCATCTTGCTTTATTTTTTGTTTTATTACATCGACTATATCATCCACTTGAGTTTCTGTATGCCCAATTTCAGGATTACTCTGGGTGCTTTCAATATCATTTAGCAAAAAAATTTCTGAATTATTTGTAGTTTCTGTGTCACATTCACTCACTATCCCACTCTCACTCTCAGAATGCCTGCTTATGTTTCCACTCTGATACATATAGTTATATGGTTTTGCCAATGTAGTCCCCCCTATTAGGTCTGGCAAAGATTTGGTAGATGAAAATGATGAGTCTTTACTAAGACTTTTGTTTAAAATGTTAGATTGTGTTACACTGGAGAGTTTGGAAGTTTTTTTCAAATTAGGCATGTGGGTTTTTTCTGATAATTCAATATTATGAAGACTATAGACCTGATAGATGTGAGGATTTGAAGGGGAAGTAATGCTGGGGCAATAAAGAGGACTTCCACGATCACTGATACTTTCATCTTCGTTCACATCGTTATCACCGCATTCTCCTGAAGCAGGTTTCTGGCTTAGATCCTCCTTCTTGAGTTCCTGATCAGGATCACTTAAGTCTTCATGAATACTGATCAGCTTATTACTGATGTCAGTTTCATCCCATTCTAGTGCATCTTCACTTGGACCATTTAGATCCATCAAACTAGGATCAATAACATTCAGAGGCTCCTGTAAAAAAAAAAAAAGTCAAAGATTAAAAATATTTACAGCTGCACTTTAAATATGCTTCCACTGAAATCACAGAAGTAAATTAATGGGAGTAAATTGCATTTTTGGAACAATGATCGCTAATAGTCTTTTAATTTTTTTATGTTTTGTGTACCATTAGAATGATCAATTAAAATGAAAAATACTAAATTTTGCATGATTTCTTAGTCTTCTTAAGGTTTTTGTCTTATTTGCTGTCAAAATATAATACAGAAATTTGACTTTTTAAATACAGATTAATTGTGGATAGTCATTTTATATGTAACAAGCTTTAACCATTTTGCAGAATCACACAGGAGTGAATTAGTGTGTTAGTAAAAAAACATGCGATTAGCACTTTATTATGTTGCATATACGAGAATCTCTTTTAGCCTGCTTAAGTTTAAAAGAGTTAAGATATAAAGGATTTACTGAAGGATTTTTTATATGTTTATAACAACCTTGTATTGTCAACCTTAAAACAATAGATCTAATGCACTGGAAATCACAAGACTTGATGACTTTTTATTAGAATTTCTATTTATTCTTTACTTGATAATAAAGGCAATACTAATGACCAGTAAGTAAGATTAATGAATGTTAATATCTTCAGCTGTAAGTACAATCAATCAGTCTAATCAAATACTACAAGAATTTCAAATACTGTCTGTGCTGACACCTTTCTCTGGGAAAGGGCTAATAAATAATTGAGCTGAACTTCGTTTGCTTTTTCAAGACTTTTGCAACTTTCCAGTAATATTCGCTATTATAGGCTTAGAACACATCATATCGAGAATTTTTCCTTCTAGAAACATGTGTGGGAGAGAAAGAACACTTTGACAACTTTTCTCACTCAAATGTGATGTGTCAAATGGCCAACAGTACCAACTTACCTTACACCTCTCAAAATAAGATAGAAGTGGTCCCTGATTTTGGGCTGGTATTCTGAGCACAAATTAATTTAATTTTATTTTTCTATTTATTGAGAGGCATCCACTTTAGGTAAGATTTTGCTTATACAATAAGTCTTGTAATGGAACTGTTAGCTAAAGAAGAACTGTTTAGTTTAAATCATCTTAACAGCTGAACAATGATCACTGCATCCAGAAAAACAAGCACTTTTTCCACAAAACCTTTCAACTATGATCTCTCACTCTCTTGAGCTTTCTTGGAGCAAGTTTTGTTTTTCAAATACAGCATTGATCACATGCCAAACAGCAATCTAAATCACAACAAACTTACAAAGTTACTGAAATACAAGGAGATAAAATGAGGCTGTAGTCCAATGAAGTGCAGTTGTACACAACTTAGTGACTTAGATTCATCAAGACTCGGCCAAGGTTAATTGTGCAGAGGAAGGCACAAATCTCCGACTTTGATTCTCAGCTGGGAACTGTCTGTTTGAAGTAGAAACTAAAGCTGCTCATCCCTTTTGTGAGAAATCATGGGATGTTCTCCAACAGCTCAATAGTTAGGGCACTGATTTTGGGCATGGGACACTTTGTCAGGCTGAGCATGAGAGACTCGAACCAGGCTCCCATTCTCTCAGGAGAAGCCCTACCTACATGCCGTTCTGAAAAGCAGCCTGCTTCTCCTGTTTCATTTTGCATAAAATAATTAAATACTAATTGGGTCATAGATAGATGAGGAGGCTTTTATCCTGTGGTGCAGCGTTCAGCACATTTGACTGGCAAGAGGCACAGGTAGGTCCAAATCCCTGTTCCAGTATCTATTTAATTATGGATATAGGTGGCACTGTTTCTATGCAAGACACAAGGCTATCCCAGTATGTCCAGCAGACCAATGGCTAAAAACACTCAACTGACCTAAGGAAGAATTATTTTCTCCAAATTGGGCAGAGCAGCTACCAGCCATTCAGCAAGGTGATATGATTATTAATATATAAGATAAACTGAGACATTCTCCATGTAAGATAAATCTGTGTTACCATGCTTCATTGGGCTTAGTTGTAAGTTAGGTCCCTGAGTACTGCAGCTGTGTTAAGATATTGCACATAATTATGGGCAGAAAAATGAATGCCAAAGAATTCTTTCCTCCTTGGCAGGTTAGGAGGCTTTTGGGATTTTGAGATTCTGTTGTGTCTAATGTTGAAGGCTAGAGTCTCTTTGTTGATCTACCTACCCCAAAGCTTTTATGGAGTAAATTTGTTAGAGTGCTTTTTGGTTTTTGGTTTTGGCTTTTTTTTTTTTCCTGTGAGATACTGGCTACTGATAGCTTAAATGTTAAATTCCCATAAACACCCATTTGCTAGACAACTACAGCTATCAGAGCACTTCTGTACACTGCAGAGTTCAGAAACCCATATTCAGATTTGGCAGTTTGCCATGTTTTCATAATGGCTCCTGGCTGGTACTTAGTTGGACCCAGTTTCCCACCTGTGGCTGACCCTTAACCTACCTGCAAGTAAAAATGGGTGCAAGAGAATGACAATGATTAAATTATTTTGAAAATCTGACAGATTAAACAAGAAATCAGCTACAATTACTCATTTTCTCTGCGGCATGTTTTACAACTCTGTCATACTTAGCATGAGGAAGACATTGCTGTGAAAAACTTCTTAAACTGCACGATTTTACTGTTTTAAGCTTCTGCCAGCTGCAAACAAAAATTCCCGAAGGCAGGAAACCAGCAGCAGGTTCCAAGGATTTTATGTTCCACAGAATCTGATTTTGTTTCTCAAAACTAAAACATTTGGTCCTTATTGGTCAGGAAGATAACCTTCCCCCTGTAAATCAGCACTTGCCTGCCTTGTTTGTTCTGCAAGTCAGATGGACTAAAACAATAAAACATGTAGAGCTGTGACCTCAGCCCATTCATCTTTACTGAGTGCTCCTTACTTCAAAGCCTAATTTTTATTCTTCAAATGCACATGCTTTTTTGAGGCTTGGTATATACTCAGAAGTTGTGCAGGAAGAACTGTGATGGTAAAGGATTTGATTTTTTTTTTCCCTTCTGATTGTCACAGCTATACTTCCAAAGGCTCTTATGTAGATATGGTGATTTTACCAGCGTAGCTTTCTCTGTCCAAGGAACTGACTGAATTGATATTAGTGAAATACTACTTTTCTTATAAGCATCACCTCCCTTGAACTACGGCTTCAGTTGTTACGAGCTACATTGGCAGCCCTTCCCAAGTACAGACCAAGTTTTAACTTTGAAACAAACCACTCAGCTTAAGTTGCAAACTTTTTATATTTGGCATTTTTAGCAGGGATATATACTCTCCCTTTCTTTTTTACAAAATTTAGCAAGCTGCTCAAACAAGAAAGAGACTTTAGACACTGAGGTAGTTGTTGGAGAGAGCAGCACCATACAGACTCTTGAATAAAGCTCTGGAGTGAAGAATGGGAGGAGGTGTCACTCCAGCCTATGTTTGCACTGACAGCAGTAGCAAGGTAAAACCCAGGAATCTCTGAGGACTATTTTTATCATGTCAGGTGTCTCCTTATGAGGCTGCTCAGTGCATAGGTAGCATGCTGGAGGATTAGAATTATCACGATAGTAATAGACTATTAGGTCTTGCCAAGAGAACATTTAAATTTCCCTAAACTGATCCTTTACTGGGCGTTATACAGAGGATGGGAGGTAGAACGCTATGTCAGCTGGTGTCACAGCTAAATTCTGACTGCTCATTTTGCTGGGAAAAAATGCTGTTGTTTCCTCTCTTGCCTATTTTGTTTTTCATTCCAAAGAACTGTATAGTACTGCACAATGCATCTGTTACACAAAGCAGACAAATCTTCTATTGCCATTTCACTTGGGAAAACTTTACTCATGTGAGAACTGCACCATGCTTTTTATCCCATTTCAGTTAATGGAGAGAATCAGAAGAGTAAAAGTGAGAAAACTTGTGGGTTGAGATAAAGACAGTTTAATAAGTAAAGCAAAAGCCACATGCACAGGCAAAGCAAAGCAAGGAATTCATTCCCCACTTCCCATGGACAGGCAGGTGTTCAGCCATCCCCAGGACAGCAGGGCTCCATCACACATAACGGTGACTTGGGAAGACAAATGCCATCGCTCCCAATGTTCCCTCCCTTTCTTCTTCCCCCAGCTTAATATGCTCAGCATGACGTCATATGGTATGGAATATCCCTTTGGTCAGTTGGGGTCAGCTGTCCTGGCTGTGTCCCCTCCCAACTCCTTGTGCACCCCCAGCCTACTCGCTGCTGGGGTGTGGTGAGAAGCCGCAAAGGCCTTGGCTCTGTGTAAGCACTGCTCAGCAGTAACTGAAACATCCCTGTGTTATCATCAACACTGTTTTCAGCACAAATCCAAAACACAGCCCCGTACTAGCTACTATGAAGAAAATTAGCTCTATCCCAGCCCAAACTAGAGCATTAAGCCAAGAATCAATTAAATTACAGACTCAGAAGAGTGAAAAGTAGAATTCATTCTAACAGATTTGAAAGCGCTGCTTTAAGGAGTTTGGCTACTCCTAATTTGAACCCTGAACTACTTTGCTCAGGACAGTATTCCCATTTCAGTGGGATAACTCTTGTGAGCAGAGTGAAGTGTGCACTTAAATGCTTGTAGGGTTGGTGTTTAATGGTTAAACAGTTAACCCGCTGAAAATGTTAATGGGAAGAAACAAGATTATTAAGTCAAATAAAGACATTTCCTCAAGCACAGTGCTCTTTAAGAAAAAGCCCTAAAAATGCATTTTTTCATTTGTTTCCTTTACTAAAACACAGATAGTTTTATTTTTACTGTATCAAATTTTATTAAACAATGATTCTCTGTTTCAGCTTCATTTGCATGTGCTACTCCAGTACAGATACTTTGTGTTGGTGAAACAGGCCTGTAATGTAACCCCTACGTACTATTATATTTTTTTAAAGGAATTAACATGAAAAAAAGAGCTTTTACAATAATAAATACAAACTCTGTTCCTCCCTCCCCTGCAAGATATCCTTCAGTTGCTGTGGACAAATTATCCAAACTCAACTGCACTTAGGGGC